GGAACCGCGGGACAGCGCAGCCCGGGCGGGGATGAGCTGACTCGGTCGGTGGCAGCTGCGGGCCCCGCCCGGGCCGCTCCAGCAACTCGCAGCCAAATAGCTGCAAACTAGCGCCAGTGACCGACTAGCAACAAAACAGGGCTCAGCTAAGTCGCTTGTTTCAGGCTCCCGCCCCGTCTGGCTGAGCTGTGTCTGCTCCAGTGACCAGCAACGATGCCCGAAAGCCGAGATCCTTCAGGCCTTCTCCTCCTTGAGGCTGGGCTGGTAAACCAGGGCTAAGGGCACGCTGGGTTGGCATTTGGTTGGAGCTGGTGCTTCGCGTCTTAAAAGCATTGACGCTCTATTGTACAGCCTGCTAGGCGCTGTACAAACGCTGCCCCAGATCGCTCACAGCCAAAGCGTAGAGACGTACCAGTGAGATGATGCAGTTCCAAACTGTCCCCGTGTGCCGGTGTGAGTTTCGGCTATAGAAATAGGGCAGTACCCCAAAGGGGCTGAACATGTTAGCCGTGATGATTGTAGAGGGTGAGATGTCTAGTGACCTGGAGTGCTTCTGTGCTGCAGAATACAAAATTGAAAAGGTGACTTTGAATAAGGCATCTGCTTCTTGCAGCAGGCCCAGATGCACAATTGCAGCCAAGAGTTTACAAGCTTTAAATAAATGGTAGTCCATTGTTTCTCACTAGGAGCCTTTAATAACTTCTACAGGAGCTTACTACTATATGCAATGGATAAAATAGTTACAAGTGCTCACATGATTTAGCAACTCAACTTTCACTTCCAAAAGTCACCTTTCAAGCCCTGATAAAAAATGTTGTCCAATGCTAACAAAGAAGTGTGAGTGACCATGGAAATCTGTCATTTGCTGAATAAAATGTTACTTCAGAAAAACTAACATACTTTGTTGTGACATGGGCAACTACAGCACTCAGACTTTTGAGCTTTAAAGTCTCAGCATGGCATGTTCGAGATTAATTTCTTTATTGTTTTGAGAGGTATGTTCTCCCCTCTCAGGGAGAACAAGAAAGAGAAACAAGAAAAAGTTCTTGTTTGCTAAAAATGCTGTTGCTATTCTCTTTGTACTTGCATTCACGGATTACAAGAGGATATTTTGTAGGTATTGAGATACTGTACAGGGAACTCACGCTAATTTATGCAACACCTGTACAAGGAAGAGAGCTGCAAGAGGTTACCTGGTCGCATATAGTTTATCATTAACTACCACTGCAAATAAGACCTTTCATTACCAAATGCCTTGTTTTTTCTGCTTTTGGTTCTGGCTAACATTAAACTTTATTTCCCAAACTGAAATTATTAGATTTATAGATACCTTTTTTTAAGCTAATAACTACATTTCTTAGATCATTCGATTTGTCCTTACAGTACAGAAATGAAAGGGAACTTTTAAAGAACTTTGACTAAGTTGTTGTTATATTCTAGCACCAAACCTAGAGTCTTCAAATAGCACAATATCTGATTTGACAGGTTTAGGCTGAGATGATCAAGGGATCCAACAGAGTTCTATCTAAAATGGTTTAGAAATACTTATACTGGCCTAAAATAACTAGGTGCTACATTTGGAAATAAGCTGCCTTTCAATAGCACAAGTGAGGCTGTTTGTTATTTATTTATTTTTCTCCTCAGGATTCACAGAAGATGAGACATGACATTATGCCATGGGGAAAAAAACAGTGATGCAGATTACGCAAAGAAGATTCCCTATACTAGATTAGGATTCTTCCATTATGGAACAGTATCTCCTGTTTTCTGGAATCTGAAAGAGGCATACCATGCCATCTCTGCTACACTTTTCCATATTGGACTGGAGAACTTTCTTTATAATTACCAATAACCATGTGAAACACATCCCTCTCTCTGTTTGCAAAATCGCATGCAACTCATTTGAAAACCAAGTGGGTTACACTTGTTAACTTGTTTAGGCAATGTTTTTAATAGAAAAGGAAATGCAGAACTTAATGTAGAAACACCTTTTTTTTAAATACCTAAAATATTTGGTGCCAAGTTTTTATAGTGTGTAACTAAAGTACATAAATGAAATTACTGTGAACTTTACTATGGCAGTGCAATACATTTGGAAGGGTGGTTTTAAGGTCCCTTTGAAATAACTGATGCAAAAGTATAAAGATTAAATATTTGTGTACTATTATAAATACACAATTTGTGATTTTTTTTATTTGGTAATGTGTAATCATTGATATCTAAATAAGCTCCTTTTCAAGATCTTTCAAACTTTGTATTTTAAAACTTGTTTGAAGATGGACAAAACTAGTGGAAAGGTTAGTGTCCTAACCATATTTCTTTTTACCTGAGATAATAGGAACAATTTACCGTGAATTAACAGTATGAAATGGAGAGGAATTCTCATCATGTAATATATTCCAGGAAATATTGTCCCAATGTTGTATTATTCCAGAAACTGCAAACTAAATCTAACTCAGAGAAATGTGTCAGGTAATACTTTACCAGCGCATAAGGAGGTGAAAATTAAATTGTAGCTAAGGGTATCTGAAAACCCTACAGATTTTTTATGTCCCTGCCTATTATGAAGTCCTTACTTGTATTTTCCTTGTTGACTGCAATTTCTTTATATCATTGGCAAATAAGGGTGTGTCTTTTACCTGCACTGTACTGTTTTATCATTAATTTCTGGCTGCCACATCTAAGTTATATATTTGTGGAATGGATCACAGCAAACCATTTTTGGTCCATCAAACCTCTAGGGCCACCCAAAAATGTTTTCCTGTGAAGTAGCAGGAGGAAACTGAAATATATTCCAAGAAAGTGTCCCAATGTGCATTGTTCCAAAAACTGCAGATTAACTTTCCTGTAAACTGTGTTGTTTCCTTTCTTGTTCTGCCTTCTTCAAATTATTTGCAAGAATATTACTTTTATTCCACATTCCTGAAGATAACTTATTTCCTTTCCTTCTTTTGTAACCAGTGCCTGAGGTCTGGATTATTTAGGGTTTACAAACTGCAGCTGTAACGTGACTATTTTAACATTGCATTTTATCAATCACAGCTCATATAGGTTGATTATTTGATAGGTTTAGTCTTAAATATTTAAATTGTTTAGTATTAGGTAATACACAATTTCATGTAGAGAGGTCCCTGATTAACATGCAGCAGAAAACTAAAATAGCTGTAAATGTATTATCAATTGTGGTTCATAATGGAAGCCAAAGTCCATCTTATTTCTTGTGCAAATATATATTTTTAAATCAGCATCATAAAAGTGCTGTTTGCAGTTCTATAGTTGTTTGAGACATGCACCTAAAGCAGAATTCAGCTTAGCTTTTACATTTGAAGAATATAGCTTTTCTTCTCCCAAAACAATTTCAATTCAAGAACCAAGTAGGTCTTCTAAGAATGTACAAATAAACTTGCTAACTAACTTGACTTAAAATATTTGGTACTTATTAGGGACAGAAATAGTCTGACAATCTCATACTGAAATAAAATTTGTCAGTGTGAAATATTAAGTAATGGCTACATTTAAAAAAGATTTTAAGTTAATGAGCAGTTTTTATAGGAAGTTCTATAAAAACCTGCCCCCTCTCATGGTTCACAATGGTGATCAAGCCAACACATCTGAGCTCTAATAGCCATTTCAAGGAAGGTCCCTACAAACCTGTCTCCTATTATTCTTAATGAAACAGGCTACAAAAAGGATAAGTCCTCTTCCATACATACAATTATTCTGTCTCCCGAAAGCTTTGGAAAGCCTACTATTTTCAGGGCAGCTTGACTCAAACTCTTTCAAGATGACCCCCAATTGCCATCATTCCCTGAAAGAGAGCAACTTGATAAGTTTCTCCAAAGAAGGCTGTTTTACACAATATCTGTTGAACAGATTTTAGATATAAAAAAAGCCCAATAAAAATTATCATAAATCTTAAATTATTATTTTCAAAAGTTACTAGATGTGTTAGATCTTATCAACAGAGATGATGACAGGGAAATAAAGGGGTGTAAAGAAAGAAGGCCTAAAGAGTAAATAAATAAAGGTATAAATGTCACAAATAAAATAAGTTAAAAGAAATCATGTGACATTCTTTTAAAGTTTGTTATGTTGTTTACATACAGGAAGGTTCCTTAATTTAAAAAAGAAAACAGACAAAAAACAATGTTAACATTCAGAGAATACTTCAGTAATTTAGGATAAAAGGCATTACAGGAAGATCAGTGTTATCTCCAGACCAAGTGCTAGAAGCTCAGAAAAATTCAGCATTAAATTTTACATGTAAAAGAAAACTAAACACATGCAAGGTATGGAACTATCAAGGGCATCCAAGTAACCTTAACTTTACCTTACAGTAATCTAATGAGGAAGGGTGGAGGAGGGGAAGAAAACTAGTGTGCATTTTAAATATTTCTTAATCTAATCTAGGGTCAAAAACACTATTAGGAACTACTCCTAACTGTATAGTTATTGCATGGTGTCTACTGGGCAAAGGTTGTTCAGGTGCTTTACCTATACATTTCTTTGGTTGACTTTTACTTTGGTTCGGTGTTTAATTATTTATTTTGTAAAACTTAAGAGCCCCCATAAAATGTATTTTATTTTCATGACTGATATAGGTTCTCAATTTTAAACAACATTTTAATGTAGCTTTTGTTTGGGAATTTATAGACATTTGTCTATTTTAAATTAACATTCAATTTTGTATTCTTTTTATACATTGCTGAAAAAAATTGTGCATATGGAAATATAATTTTCTGTGCTGAAAATTACACTGAAGAGTTTACCATTTGACTTCCAAGACATTTTTGGTCACTGTGGAAAGAAAATAGGGTTTTATGCCATTGCTTGACTGAACTTACAGGACTCATGTAAACATTAGTTGGAAGATATTTAACAACTGCACAGGAGGCCCACTTTTCTGGACTTTGGTCTGAAATCACCCAATTTTGGTGACTTTCTAGGTGTTCTCCAAAGATGTTGGATTGGCACTTCTCTCACATGGAGAAAGATGAAGATGCCTTCTCAAACAATGAAGAGAAGCAGAGTTCCTATGGAGCTGATTTTAACTGTATATACCCACAGTTGCCAAACTGTAGCTCGTGTCTTGCCAGCACGGAACTTGCAGCTCTCCAGAAATTGGCCGCTGACTTTTCCTCGTGGCAGCTCCAGGGCACAGCGCAGCCTGGCACCTCCCGCTGCTGCGGCTTTCCCAGTGGGGAGTGTGCCCCGAGCCCGCCCTCCTCCCTCTTTTTCTCCCTCTGGGACTGCTGGCTCAGGCACCAGGGCTGCCTGGGCTGCAGCCATGCTGCTTACCCTGGGGCGTGCTCCCCGTGGGGAAAGCCAGAGCTGTTCAGCCATACAGGGTGGTCACCTCCACTCCGGGTCACTTAGCACCCCCACTATCTGGCTCTTAAACTTCAGATGTGGCTCCCAGGGTGAGTAACTCTGGCCACCCCTGGTAGAGACTGTACAATTAGCTTACTTGGATAGCCATCTTATTTTAAATAAAAATAAAAATAATTCTATGGCTATGTTAATGTATTATCTCTATGAAATATTCTTTCTACCCATTACTGCTAATGTATATCATCTCTTCCCCACCACTCAGTTGGCTCAGTTAATAAATATAAATTTGGGTGTTTGCAGCTCTCACCTGCTGCACTATACAATGAGATTTCAGTCAGATATTACTAGTTATTCATTTTTCCCCTTAATTTTGTGTGTTTTTCCCTATACAAGGAGGTCCTAAATACCCTCCCCTGCAATAGTGTTTCAGACCACTTTTTTCATGATCACTACAATCATTTAAGGTAGGTCCACCGAGAAAAAAATAAAGTGTTAGTCAGGATGGACTGAAATAATGTAAAATAGTTTAGTAACGTGTTAAAACTTATGCCATCAGAGAGAGCTTTCAATTGTAGTTAATATTTGTTTTGCAAATTCTGAATTACAGAACTTGTTACCTGCCGGGACAGATCGCATAGTAGTCAAACATCTCTTCAGTATTAAATCTTACTGCTTCTCTTTGCTTCTTGTAACACTTGTTGTTTTTAATGATGCTTGATATTGGAATAAAAACCCAACATGGCTAACACCTTAAATCAGGGAGCTGGATGGTTAAAATAAAATGCATATTTAAAACTCAGTCCTGATCCTCAAGGGAAACTTACACAACACTTCCCAGAGAGGAGCCTATGAGCTCCATTTCATCAACTTCCTGGATACTAGAGATCATGGACCAAACATAGGCAGACAGGTTCCTTGGGTGAATTTGATATCTTTTATTAGACCAACCCAAATGGTTGGAGAATAGTTATTAAGCAAGCTTTCGGGTTCAAAAACCCTTCGTCAGGCTAAGGAAGCTACAGCAGTTGGTGTGTGCTCGGATGGAATGGACTTTTCATTCCATCCAGGAAGAGCACACACCAACTGCTGTAGCTTCCTTAGCCTGACGAAGGGTTTTTGAACCCGAAAGCTTGCTTAATAACTATTCTCCAACCATTTGGGTTGGTCTAATAAAAGATATCAAATTCACCCAAGGAACCTTGTCTGCCTGTTTAAAACTATGTTTTTCAGACAATCTAGCCATAGGGTACAAGCACAAACTGTTGTCATAATTTAAAAGCTGCCTTGTAGTTTAGTTTAGGAAACTGCAGTAAAAATAGTTTTAATAGTCAACACAATATTTTAAAGAGTTTTCAGCAAAGAAAAATAATCTTCAAAGGAGTTGACTAATTAGGGTACATAAAACATAAGTTTGCCTCATAGTTGACAAAAAATTAATAGCTTCCTCGGTTATTTTGAAATGTAGGACTTTTATAAAGCTTGCATTCTGTAATTTAGTACTGAATAGGCAAGAACCTTTACATTCAAAGATACTCATTTTCACCTTCTATGCAAGTATTTTAGACATTCTATGGAGGCACCAAGAAATTGATTCAGAATGACCAATAATGCTGTAAGTTCAACTGTTTGACTTCTTCCAGTGAGGTCACGTGACCTTTGACACCAATGAAGTTGCAGGAAGTGACAATGAAATGGGTCTGGAAATGTGGTTTAAAATCTAAAATAAAAACGATATAAAAGCAAGAATGAAATAATACCAAACACTTGACTAAAATAAACACTTTCGCTTCTACTCACTTCTCAATGAATGAAAGAAGCATAATGCACGTCAACAGATCAAATGTGGAAAAGATATCAGTCAGACCTGGTGCCCAGCAGGCCTGGTGCCATGCCCGGGTTGACATGGTACTGCAGGACCCGCCTGGGCAGAACTGGGTTGGCACCGGCCAGGAAAAGCAGCATGCAGCTGAAGCCTGCTTCCCATGTGCTGCTGGGGACGGAAGGAGGCCGGCCAGGTCTGCGGCGGAGCCATGTGCCGCTCGGGACTGACTGGTGCAGGCTTGTCCCGTCTCGAGTG